CAAATGTTACATCTAGATCTATTAACTTAGTCATTAGATATGTCCCAGTGCAATGCCTAGTTTAATAGTTAGTATAGGTCTAAGTATGCCTATAATATAAGCTACAATTTGTATGATGATCGACCTAGGGTCTAGAAATGAAGTTATAACTGCAATTAGACCTAAAGTCTAGTACATTAGTTGGTGTAAGATATGATTTACAATCAGCCAATACAATTACAAACCACTACATTAGGCCTATAATGTTTACTAGATATAGATCTAGGCCTTGTCTGTTGCATATATTGCCATTCTTGCACACCAGTTAATATGTTACATCAATCTGATATTTTCTTTTTGTTGAACATACACTTACTTGAACGTTGTACTCTAGGACTTGTATTTGATCTAGAGATGAATGATGGAATAGTGTAATTTACTTATGTACGTCAATTCGGTCTCACTGTATTTCAGTGGGCGGCTTTTAAAAGTTAAAACTGCAAGCGTAATACACATAAATAACGTAACACTGTGTAGTATTTACTTAACGTGGGGCAATTGCGCTATATCCTAGGGAAGGGCATAATTATTAATTGATAGGCATTATAGGCCAAAGGAAATTTTGCGCCCTTCACACCTGAGCCCGGGACTGCCCCCTCTTGCTACGCCACTGACCACCATATTTTATTGATAGTGAGAAAAAGGAAAGTTTACAAATAATTTACTTACTATAATTAAAAGCATTTATTTACTTTTTGCACAGATCAAAGTTCATGTTCTGTGCCACTACATCTTTAATTGTGAAAATGCAAAGAAAGAACAAAACACGAACTTCGATCGTTGAATATTAGGTGGACTAAGATCTTGATTTACTTCTGACATAAAACATTTCTTTTTTTACCCTTTTAACACGGGATCGACCTCGTAACCATTGTGTGCTTGTTATAGTTTTCATGCTATAACGTTTAAATTAGTAAACGTATTGTTACGTCTCCGTTCGTTAATTAACTTTCCGTAACTTCGTTCCGACACAAGTCTTTACTTAATAAAACTGGTTTATTCTTTCCGAATATAACTTTACGATACACTTGTTTTCAACAATCGCGGTATAACAAACGCTATATCAACGAACGTTAACTTCAACAATATGTCTCTCTCTGACTGCAATTCAATTACTCATTACCTAAACACACATTACCTTATTGTCCCGTCACGTTGTCACCCTCTTTTATATACCAGACTACCCTATATCTAGTAAATACTAGAGCATTCGCCAAGGTACAGGATAGTTCTAGAAAATAGGTGGCGCCACACCAGTCACGTGACCTCGATGACGCAACAGTATGTTAACGAAATCTGGCAGGTTATAAAGTTAACATTACGATGTTTTCGTACTCAAAACATTAATTCTCAAGGTTTGTTAAATAAAATTTATCATACCTTTTTTTTTCACTTGTTACCTATCCAACATGCAAAGTATTTTTATTTCAAGATTATAAATATTTTTATGCATCAGAAAATTTTCAAATTTCATATGCGAAATCTTTATAATGTCCAGATAGTTATCAAACGTCTCTTAAGAAAAAACTTTATATTTTATCTGTTATTTTCACTGATTAATCTCTACGGGTTCGATAGATTTGGCGGATCTCGTAACCAACATAAAAAATTAGGAAATAAATATAAATTTTGCTTCTTTCATTCTAGAATGACTAGAAATTATAACACAAAAACATAAATGTTTAGATTAAATATCTTAAATCTCATAACATTATACATTTATATACATATTGTTACGTCTCCGTTCGCTAGTTAATTTTTCCGTAACTTCGTTCCGACGAGACTTTAGCGACACAAGTCCTTTCTTAATAAGACTGGTTTATTCTTTCCGAATACAACTTTACGAAACACTTAATTTCGGCAGTCGCTCTATAACAAACACTATAATTCACGTCTCACGTGGCCAACAATATTTTGTCCGCATACATTCAATTACTCATTACACTGTTGTCCCGTCACGTTGTGAACGTCTTATATATACAAGACTAACACATATCTGGTAAATGCTAGGGCATTCTTGAAGGAACAATATTTATTATTTTTATTGTATTGACCTTTCAGCCGTGCCTAGCTAAGATTACAAACATTGTGTTAAGTCTCTAGTCGTTTGTTAATTTTCCGTTAAAATGCTTTCCGAGGATACTTCAGCGATACAAGTCCTTTCTTAAATAAAACTAGTTTATTCTTTCTCAATACAACTTTGCAATTCACTTAATTTCCACAGTCACGCTATAACTTAAACAAACACTATAATTCACAACGAACGACACACGCGCTCGATCCAACTGTCCGTCTCTATCTCTGTCTGCAATTCAACTG